GCTGGCCAAGCCTTTTAAAGAGCAGGTTGTGTTCCGACTCTACCTGAGCACATGTTAGCATTGAGCCCTGCTCTCTGGAGCAGTGAGGGAGTCCTCGTGGCACGTTGGGTCAGGGAGCCGTGGGGAAAGTATGTGTAGACTCATCTGTTCAGTATCCCTGGCCTGACACTCCTGCATCAGTGTGTTTGCACACTTTCAGACAGTCGTGCCTGGGTGGAGGCAGGCTGTTTTAGGCTTCCAATTAAAGAAGATCATCCCTGAATCAGGGCCGCCCGAGTCTTGGACTTTATTATCCTGCAACAATCAGAATGTCAGTGTAGCACTGCTGCCACTTCATTGCCCAAAACATCATCTCAAGTTGCCCCACACCCAGAGCTGCCCCTCTGACATGTAAACTACCCCCCAACAATAAAAGGAACCCCTGATTCAAGGTAAACATGATGATTTGCCTCTGTTCATCTCCTTGAAGACAAATTCCATGCTCTGTGCCTCCCCCAACGCCAGTGGTCACGTATGAATGGCTCTGCGGTTAAGAAGAGGGAGGCTTCAAAAAGTTCATGGAAAAAACCCTAAACCAACCCAACCACATCGTTTTTTCATTCCAGTTTTTCATGAACTCTTGGAAGCACCCTGACGTTTTCCCCACAAATGGTCTCAAAATCGGTGACCATTGGGGCCTGCCCTGTGGTTTCCGTAAGCAGATCCTCTGGGTGATACTGAACCTTGGGCAGGAAGGTGTCTGAGCTGCGGGCACCCAACTCTTTGCCAGCCTGCTGGAGAGCTGCCAGTGGGCATTGTCGGCTCTCGGTGCTGACGGCTCTGCTCATCCCCTTACAGATTACGTCTTTGTCACCCCAGTGGAAGTGGATGAGGGCGGATCGTACGTTTCACACGACATCTCTCACGGCAGCCGTCGGAAACGAGCAGCACTGAGTGCCAGGAGCCGGCTGCACTACCGATTTTCAGCATTTGGACAGGAGCTCCACTTGGAGCTGAAGCCCTCGGCCATGCTCAGCAGTCACTTCAGTGTCCAGGTGCTGGGGAAGGACGGCGCTTCCGAGGACCACGTCCCCACCGCCGCTGTGCGGCAATGTTTCTATCAGGGATTTATCAGAGATGACAGCTCCTCCTCTGTCGCCCTGTCGACCTGTGCCGGCTTGGTAAGTTGCGCCTGCCTCCTGAGCCCGACTCCCCCTTCCGTGTGTTTTGTGTAACTGGAATGAACAGCTGTCTGCAATATCAAATGCTCTGCTAGCAAACTTGACACATCCGTGCTGCCGGCTCGGCTCCGTCTGATATCCTCAATTGAATTAATCTAATCTGCTTCCAGAAAAAAGAAAGAGAGAAAATATAATAGGATGTTAATTAGCATTTAAACCCCGCTTTTGATGTTTAATGGTCTGGGCCTTTTCATTCTCTTCGTGTTTGAGATGATTCCCGGGGAAATTAGTTTGATGGATGCCATTCGCTCAGCGAAGTCTTATATAAACCTCACAGGCTGCGTGCCTGCGCATGCCTTGGCGTGCGGAAAACTGTCTTTTAATCCCAAAGGGTGTTCAGCAGCCCTGTTGAGCCCAACCTTCATTTTACCAGAAGTGGGGGAGTCTTTTTTTGTTGTCATGAATCTGTTCGTGTAGCAAGATGCCCTGGTCGAATGGTGTGACGTGTTCAAGGGCTGGTGGGATTCATGGAGGTCTCCCTCCACAGACTCCAGGCACTTACCAACTGCTTGAGGGACAAGGGCGCTTTCCTCTCTGGCATCCTCATCTGTCGAACACCAGGCAGAGAATGTTGGTGGCTTCTGCCAGGATCGGGTCAAATAAAGGAGCCAGTGCGCGCCACGTGTGGCTGATCTCAGTGAGCGGTGGAGACATGCCATGCATCCACAGACACAAGGGGGTGATGCTTTGATGAAAGGAAACTGAATGTGGGCCTAGTGATGTGCATTCAAGTCCAGCTACAGAGAGAGAGAGAGACAGACAGACAGACAGACAGACAGACAGACAGACATTGGCTTCCATGCAGGTGGATCAGAAATCAGAACTCTCCTTTTTCATGATGGTAAAATATATCTGCGACAAAACATCTACCATCTCCAGATTCCTTATGCATAGACCTCAGTAGCATTAATTAAGTCCTTCCTGCTACTCAGCCATCAGCAGTATCCCACCCCAGATGTTTCTACTACCCCTCATGCTTGGTGCCGGTTGAATGTGCAGTTGTATGTTCTTTTGACATTTATCTTTGTATTGTGACCTCCTATTTAACCTAAAGCCTTTCAGCAGAACCAGAGCCATGCTATCCTTCGCTGGTGGTGGTGATCGGTAGGTTAAGTATCTGTAGAATTGGTTCTTCAACTCATATAGACCCATTGGTCGGCCAGAACCCAACACTGTCCAGTCTGGCGTCAGCCTCGCCATCATTGAACGCTATGTTCATGCCCATTTGTTGTGGCCGCTGTGTCGGTCCGTCTCGTGGAAGCTTCTCTTCTTTTTCACGGATCTTCTGCACACGTGGTATATGCCATAGTGGTTAGTGCCCTTCTCCAGGGACTGGTCCCTCCTGATGACATGTCCCAAGTCTGTGAGATGAGGCCTCCACAGCCTCTAGGGGACAATTCAGGCTGTCCTTTTTCCAGGACAGATTTGTTCTCTTCTCTCCTGGTCCACGATAACTTCCGTATTCTTCACCAACACCCCAATACAAAAGCATCAATTCTTTCTCCGTTGTTCTTACTCAGGACCCAGCTTTTAAGGCAGATGAGGGACTTGAAAATCCCATGGCTTGACAAGGCAAAGTACAGAGTGACTCAAACATGGGACAATTCTCAACTAAGCTTGGTCCATTAAAAGGATCAATTATGACTCAATAATGGCCGATGTAGTTGAATATGGACACACATGCATTTACTTTAAATCTCTTGCTTTTTGTGTGTGTGTGCCATTTTCTCAGACAAATTTTCCTGTCCTAAAGTTCTCAGAAGCAAGCCCTGGGGGTGTAGTGGGTTTTGCAGTCAGCTGTTAACCACAAGGTCAGCAGTTTGAACCCAGCAGCCACTCCCAGGAAGAAAGATGAGACTTTCAAAGCCCATAAATCCTGTAACGATTCAGTCTCAGAAACCCAAAGGGGCAATTTTACCCCATCTAATAGGGTCACTATGAGTCTGAAGCAATTAAATGGCAGTGAGTTTGGGATTTTACGTTTGTGTTGGTCTTGGTATTTTAGAGAAACAAATCCACAGAAACTCATATGTGTAAGAGAGAGTTTTATATAAAGGGTAAATGGGCATCAAGAAAACACAAGTCCAAAATTAACCCATATATCCAATAACAATCCACAAAGTCCTCCTCCATCTCACAAAACACACACTATGACGCCGACTGCAGGAGGAAAGGCGAGTCAGTGAATGTGTAAGCATCTCAGCACTTGCAGGGGTCTCCACAAGGTTGCTCCAGCACCTAGGGCTGCATCGAGGTAGGTCCATATGGCTTCTCCTTGGGGATGTCTTGCAGGAAGTGAGCCTTGCAAGCTGAAGCAGGGAACTGGCCAAGGCAGCTGCACCCTGGTCGGACCATCAGAAAAGCAAGAGACATGAGAACCAGAAAGGCGAGGCTCACTGAGCCATTTATCTCTCCGCCCTTCAATTAACCCCACATGTGTTTATCAGCCAGGTTGGCACAATAAACTAACTACATCAACCTTTTCAGCAGGACTTGTAGCAGCACCCGTCGGGCCTTAGTTTACCTCGTGGTGTATGCCATGGTCGTTAAGAGCACACAGCCCAGGTTCAAATTCTCACACTCCAAATCCAACCCACAGCTTTGCTCTCTTCCTATAGGATGTCATCCCACAATGGATCAGGTCCCCTGTCATTAGTGTTCCACGCATTAACTCTCCTCTTGATGTGTAGCTTTACATTCAAGGGAGATGATGATGGGTTGCATTTTGGTTCTTGCAGACGGCTTTCATTCTCTTCCATGTGAACTTACATATGAGTAACTGATATGATGGCCTGTCCTATAGCTGACCCCGGACCTGGGTTTGGTCGACACGACTGAGATTTCTATCCTCTCTCCCAGATACATAGCAACGCAGGAGAGGTTTTTCGGGGTCTATAAATCTTCACCGGAGCAGACAGCCTCAGTGGAGCAGCTAGATGAGATATATGTGTAAATTTGCATTTGGGGCCCTAGGGCTTTGGGGCTGTTGGGCACGTAGGGATTGCTCGTTAGTAAAGAACCACGCTGTAATTCAATAGGAGCTGGGTCCAAGGAGTTCGTTGAGTGGATGGGGGAGGGTGTCATCAACAATATCAAAACACTACCTCTCAGAGCTTTTCGGTGACCATGGACATGTGGTTGTTAGTTGCATATGCCATTTGCTCAGCTCGTATGCATGTGAAACCTGCGTCTCACAGAACACACCTGTTGTCCAGTTCTGTGCCATCTTCATGACTCGAGTGACAGGCCATTGTCATTGTGGTGACTGCTGTGTCCCATCTTCCAGAGGACGTTCATCTCCTGGCCCTGAGTCAGTCAGCAATCTGTTGGGATCCGTAGGCTTTCCCTCACTGAGTCTTGGAAGTAGATCAAAGACCTTTCCTTCCTAGTTTGTTGGTTTGGAAGCTCCACTCAATCTTGTCCACCCGGGGCATTCCTGCTGGGGATCGAAATAATGGGGACACAGCAATACGTATGAGGAGCCCTGGTGGCGTAATGGTTACGCTTTGGGCTGTAATCTGAATGGTCATCAGTTTGAAACCACGAGCACCTCTGAGGGAGAAAGACTGGGCTTTCCACTCCTGTCACCAGTTACGGTCTTGGGAGCCCACAGGGGGTTGGTCTTGGGAGCCCACAGGGGGTCGCTATGAGTCAGCACTGACTCCTTGGCAGGGAGCTTGGATTTGATTGGAGCAATACGTAAATCACTACAGCGTGACACTGGCATGCATTAGCATCTTAAGTCGGAAATGTCTCTGCTTAAACCTAGAATTTTTCTAATTTACTTGCCCATGAAAACTACCCCATTCCAGCAACCCACCCAAACAGGATCATGTCATCATTTGGCAATGACAAGAAAGCCACAAAAGCCGTGATCCCCAAAAGAGACAGGGAAACATTTATGCACTGATTTATGTCCCTGGAATCAGAACCAAGGGTCATATCAATTTGTGACCCATTAAGTTGAAGCAGACCTTTGCTTTCATAAGGGGTCCTGGAAAAGGTTGCCAGTTCAAACCCCCCAGCCACTCAGAAAGATGGTGCCAGTCTGCTTCCATAAATATTACAGCCTCGGAAATTTGATCGGGCAGTTCCACTCTGTCGTGTAGGGTGTCCCTGCGTGGAAATGGACTCTGGGGCAGTGGGTCTGATGTTTTGTGGTTGTTTTAAATATGGTTTCATTTGCTAATGCACCCAAGGGAACTCTGAGAGATGGAGTTTTCACACTAATTTGGCCACATTCCTCCAAAAGGGAGGTTTTGACCCTCATGAACCCCCCCACACCACCCGTCAATCCCTGGACCAAGGTTCCATGGCTGACAATAAACCAGCAATCCCTCGATTTCAGATCACCTGGGCTTTCTGGGCTTCAGATCACCGGAACTTTATTGCCACCTGATGGATCTGATAACCCCGTGTCAGGCAGTTGACTTAAGAAACTCTGAAACCAAGCTCCGTGCTTCCTGGCCAGATCAGATGGAAGGACATGGAGAAACTGCCACTCCTGTAGTTATCTGCTGTCCCCCCTAGTTCTGGGCTACCCCAGACAGCTGCCCTTCAGCTGGTGGGGATAGTAGACTGCTTCCCTCTCTGCTGTAAGGAAGAGGCCCAGCCTTGGCTCACAGTCAGGACCCCCGCAGAACTGACTGTGCCCAAGGCTGCTAGGAGAACCCCTTCTGCCCGCCACCTCGGAGCCCCCCTCCCGTTCCCTCCCTGGGCTACCTTCCATTCCTCTTTTCTTTGTTCCCAACAACAAAAGCACAAGTGGCCTTTCTCCTGCATGGCTGGCTGCCTTCACATCCCCATTGTAGCTTTCCAGTCTGCCGGTTGGTCATTGACCAGAGAGGAGCTTTGGAAGCAACTGCATTTCCACGGGCCCAAGAGGCACTTTGAGGTTACCCTTTCCGAAGCACTTCGTGACCCCAAAGGTGCGCACTGAG